CCTCGCTCCTCTCCTATCTCTCCTCATCTCTCCTCCCTCTTTCTCCCTCTCCACTCTCTGTCCTCTCTCCTCCCTCTCCTCCTCCTCTCTCCTCTCTCGTTCCTCGCTCCTCCCCTCCTATCTCCTCATCTCTCCTCCCTCTTTCTCTTCTCCCACTCTCTGTCTTCTCTCCTCCCCCTCCTCTCTCCTCCCACTCTCCTCCTCCTCTCCTCTCTTTTCTCTCTCTCATCTCTCTTCCTCTCCTCCCTTGTCCCTCTCACCCCTCTCCTCTCTCCTCCCTTCCTCTCTCCTTTCTCTCTCCTCCCTTTCTCCTCTCTCTCCTCCCACTCTCCTCCTTCCCTCTCTCCTCTCTCTCCTCTCTCCTCTCTCTCTCCTCCCACTCTCCTCCCTCCCTCTCTCCTCTCTCTCGTTTCACGCTCCTCCCCCTCCTATCTCCCTCATCTCTCCTCCCTCTTTCTCTCCTCCCACTCTCTGTCCTCTCTCCTCCCTCTCCTCCTCCCTCCCTCTCTTTTCTCTCTCTCATCTCTCTTCCCTCTCCTCCCTTGTCCCTCTCGTCCCTCTCCTCTCTCCTCCCTCCCTCTCTCCTTTCTCTCTCCTCCCTTTCTCCTCTCTCTCCTCCTCTCTCCCTCCTCCTCTCTTCTCTCTCCTCTCTCCTCCCTCTCTCCTCCCACTCTCCTCCCTCCCTCTCTCCTCTCTCGTTCCACGCTCCTCCCCCTCCTATCTCCCTCATCTCTCCTCCCTCTTTCTCTCCTCCCACTCTCTGTCCTCTCTCCTCCCCCTCCTCTCTCTCTCTCTCTCTCTCTCCTCCCACTCTCCTCCCTCCCTCTCTCTCCTCTCTCTCCTCTTTCCTCCCTCTCCCCTCTCGTCCCTCTCATCTCTCCTCTCTTCTCTCTTCTCTCTCCTCCCACTCTCCTCCTCCCTCCCTCTCTTTTCTCTCTCTCATCTCTCGTCCCTCTCCTCCCTTGTCCCTCTAGTCCCTCTCCTCTCTCCTCTCTCTTTCTCTCTCTTTCTCTTCCCTCTCTCTTCCTCTCTCCGTTTATTGCGTTGTTCTTGTTGCCTTGTGTGCGTCTGACACTCATGTTGTGTTGTGTTGTGTTGTTTTCTCAGGTGTGCACAGACAGAGCCAGGACCTGTCCGGGTATTACCCCCTCCCCCCGGGCGGAGTGGGCCAGATCACCCCCTCCATGGGCTGGTCAGTCACACACACACGCACACACACACACACACTGTACACACACACACACACACACACACCTGTACACACACACACACACACACACGAGGGAGGGGGAGAGTGAGAGACAAACAGCTGTTCTCAAACCCGTGAGTCAGTGTTTCTATGACGACCAAACTTGACCTGAAACGTCAAGGTGTTTTATGAGCGGCATCCTACAGGTCAGAGCTTCACTACATTTATTCATCTTTTATGGAATTGAACCCTCACCCTTGACATTTTCCACTGGGCTGAACAATTTGGGAAAAACATCTGTGATTTTTCTAATGATTATTAGGATGGTCCAAAGAATTTTCTTTTTAGATTCTCAAGATTAGAACCCTGCATTTGGTTCCATATCAGGCCAAAATATTTAGGTCCACATTTTTTGCAAATTAATAAATATTTAGAGGTTGCTCAAAACTCTTGAAAATTGCCTTGTTGGTCCTGTACTATAACATAGAAGCAAATAAATAAGGTATATTCGAATAATTTGTCATTTTATTCTGCAAACGTGAACTGAAACTTGCATAAAAATCATGTAGAAGTTGCTTAGAAAGTCCAGCTCCACTGTGTCTTTGTTGGCGTCACTAAAGATGAGCCCGTGTCTTTGACTCAGATCCTGTTTGTGATCTTCATTCTTTGTTTGGCTACAGTTAAAATCTTGAATAAGCTTCACCTCCTTTTAGTAACAACATCACTGACGACTTTCCTGGAATACACAGTTTGATCAGTCTTCTGAAAGTCTCATCATCAGGGGAACTGTTCAAAATGTTTTTGGCAGATCAAGAGCTTCACTTTGTGCGGGTGGAGACAAAATCACTGATCTGCTGTGATGACGTCATCGGTCGTGGCTCGGTTCGGTTGTGTGTGAGTGTGGAACATAGAAGCCACAGCAATCGTTCCTGAGCACAGCACGGTTCTAAAGTCCAAGTGTGAATATTCCCTTAAAAACAAATAAACAAAAAAACGCAATAGTTACTTTCCCTGATAACTAGTTACTTTTATAGTGGAGTAACTCATTTACTTTTTGGGAGAAGTAACCAGTAACTATAACTAATTGCTAATTAATTAATGTGCCCAACACTGCTGAAAACGCAAAATGAGTTAAATTTTCTGGAAACTTCGTGCAGCTTGAGCAACCTCTAAAACACAGGTGTCAAACATGCGGCCCGGGGGCCAGATCCGGCCCTCCAAGACCTTTAATCTGGCCCTCGGCTGATTTTCTACTAAAATATTTTAATTATATTTTTTATTAAAATCTTGTTAATTTTCTGTGGTGTTTATCACAGCAGCGTCTCTGTACGTGGCCCCTCCCACCAGAGCAGCACAAATGAAGACTTGTCTCTTTCCAAACGCTCTTAAAGGACGATCGTTTTGACTGTTGACCGTGACACCCTCATCAGAAAAATGTCCAACATGAGAAATGTGGAGCCGAGTGCAGGATTTTCTTAAAGTTTCAGGTTGTTCATAATATTACAATATTTTGTAAAAGAAAGAGTTCATCAATTAAAAAAGATTTATGTAATAGATTTGTGTTTCTCTGCACAAATATTTGAACTTATTGTTATTTTTGGGGTTTATATGACATGAGTTTTCTGATCCGGCCCCTTTGGGATCAAAGTTGGTTGGATACGGCCCCCGGACCAAAATGAGTTTGACACCCCTGCTCTAAAACATCTCCTTTTAATTCCTAAATCATCTTCTGGAGTTAAAACTTAATGCAGGTTCTGATCGAGGTTATCTGAAACTTTATTTTTGACCGTGCTTTGAGGGACCACACTAATGATTATGTTTTAATAATCGTGTTCTTTCAAACACGTCCACAAGAGCTGACCAAAAGACTAAAATGTGAAGTGACAATACAAGAATACCATTTTTTAGCATGTGTGTACAGATCTAAAGTGCAGGGTTGTATGGACTGTACGGCGGGCACACCCTTAAAGAGGAAGCTCCAAATGCCATCCAGATTTGCAAAGGGCACTAAACGTTTTAACGGGCCCTTCAGACGCATCATCTGTGCTTTTCAGTGTAATCTCTTTAGCTCAGATTATGTTGTCCTGGCCTCGTCAATGGGACTTCTTTGTTTAAAAAAGCGGTTGTTTTATTCCATCTGAAATGTCACGCAGTGGTTTTGATTTTGTCCCGCTTGAGCCACCATTGTTTGAGCTGAGCAGCCCCAGATGTGCAGGACCAGGGGGACTTTCGGCGCCTTTGTAAACAAGCACAACAAGAAGCAGAGGATTATGGGATGTCTGGCGGTGGGACGCACACTTTGGCGGTTTCGGGGGAGGCGGGGCGGGGGTCTAAACATGTTGCGTTGTTGAAATGTCGGAGATTGAGTTTAGACTTGGACCGAAGGCGTTGGCACAAGTTTGGAGAATACAGAAGATTTAATAAAACAAAAGTAAATAAAGTGTCATAAAAAGTAGACGATTTTGTGCCAAAGAAAGAAAACAGTCAGTTGTTTTGAGTAAAGATTGGACAATATGATAATGCTCGGTTCAGAATAATGGCTGGCGGAACCGAATGTGCACAACAAAAAGTGGAGTGTTAAAATCAACTCTCACAGAATCAATTTGAACATTTTCTCGGGGTTTATATGAGTCCAAACTGTTCTAGAGTTAATTTAACATGTTTGGAAATGTTAATTAAGTAACACTGGACCAAAGTTCCTTTTAAACCACAAAATATAGTAAGTTAAGTTATATTAACATTTTGAGAGTAAACAGATAACACTTTGTTGGGTTATCCCGATTTAGTTAAACAACACATAGAGGTGTTTTTTTTTGACACTTTATTTTAGTTAATTTAAGGTTAAATTATGTACAAAACTGGTTCAAACTGGTCTTCTCTCACAGGAGTTTGAAGTGGTGGATAGGAGATGTCAAATTAACACTAGGGGAAGTTGAATTAATTTTAGCCACATCAACTCTGGCAAATAACCCCAACTCAAACCCACATTTAACTTTCAGAGAGTTAAAACACAACACTTTTTCTGTTAAAAACAACTCTGAAATATTTTACCCTGAAAATTTTAACCCTCCAGTTTTTGCTGTGTAGTGCACTCAAATTTTCCCAGAATGCACCTTGAAAAGCGGTGTCCAGCACTGGTCACTAGAGCGATCCCACAATACACTGGGAGAGTAAAAAAACAACAACAGTGGACAGAGACAGAGTCTTAAAGGTTGTATAGAGGATTTTTTTAAGGAAAGAGAAATCCAGCAACAGTCCTTTTTTCAAATGTAGTGCATGCGTGACACCACCTTCCTCCTCCACAGGTCCCTCTAGAAATAATTTAGAGACCGACACCTCAGTTTTTAGACCCTTTATCTGCTTCAGTCACTGAAAGGAATCTCCAAGAATCACCTCAGTTTGTCTTCGCTCCTTTTCTCCTTCTCTTCTTCTTTCAGCGACCTCAAAAACTGACTTTCTTTTGCGGCGAACTGGTCGTGGATTCTCGTCCGACATCGCAACAAACTTTATGCGAACTGCGAGAGAGCCACAATTAGAAAAAGCCTCTAAGAACCGCTGCATAGTTACCTCAGAAACGCAGGGAGTTTGATTGACAACCTAACAGCCAATAGAAAATGAGGCAGCCTCGTTTTCTATTGGCTGATGTTTATCTGGCCTCAACACGTCCACACTTGATAGATTTTCTTTCTCTTTTTTTTTTTGGTCATCATAATTACAAGGCTGCTGCGTCTCTGTAATGGTATTTTAAACTTTCATTGACAATTTGAAACAAATAAAAAACTCCTCCATACAACCTTTAAACTGGACACAACACTTGAGTGAAGCAGACAGAAGCTCTGGTTTATCTCTGTACATTCTGATTCTGAATAAAACTCGTAAATAAAACGTTCTGGTGTAAAAGTGAGAGTTAAAAATCTGAACTGCCTCAAGTGAAGAGACGTCCAACTAGAGGCGTGAGTTTAAGGTTAGGGGTTTGGGTTAAGATTAGCCTTAAAGGTACATTGTGCAACTTTTCTGGTGGAGGGTCTGTCCCCTGATTGTCTCCATGGATGTCATTGTTCTGCCTGGAATGTTCCACAGTATGGCATTAAATAGCTCTACCTTACATTTATTCAACTGCAGGTGCTTTTATAGCCCCCAAAATATCATAGACTGTATATATAAATGTGGGTTTTTTTTTTAGGTACTTTTTATTATCCTTGTAGTGGGGCACATGGCATGCCCAGGGACCCAGCTCCATGATCTTGTTGCTAGGCTTGGTCCAGACCTTTGCTATGGTGCAGGTTTTGGGTTGATGGGGGAAACCAGAGTGTCTAGTGCAGGGGTGTCCAAACTTTTTTCATCAAGAGCCGTAGACTGATGCTCAATACAGTGAATAATTGAAATATGTGCATGATTAACACGTTAGAATGAGCCATCAGTCTTTATTCATGCTAAGATCCTTAAAAACACACACTAAATATTCAACATTGGCTTTATCAAGGTAGATTTTTAAAAAACTTGCAGTAAAAAATATGTTTTAATTGATGCAAGGTAATTTGGGCCAAATCACCTGGAAGTCTGAGGGCCAAGAAAAATGTGTCTGAGGGCCGCATTTGGCCCCCGGACCATAGTTTGGACATGCCTGGTCTAGAGGAAACCCATCCAGACACAGGGAGAACATGCAAACTCCACACACAGAAATGCTCGGGCAGCCCAGAGATCAGACCCAGAACCTTCTTGCCGTGAGGCGTGAGTGCTCAGCCACCTTCTCCCATTGACTTCCTTTAGAATATTGTGGCTCTTCTCTCTGTACCTGCTGCTCTGAGCCTCAACGTTTTGGTCTTAAATGTTCATATTAATCCACTGTACATGATCCTGGGGGTTTTATTTCACTATTTTATCCGTTAAAACATCCTATTCCTAATATCCAGCCAGGCTTCAAACTTGTCCCTGTAACCGTGAGCATCAGAGCTCCATTTGAGTTTCGCTGAACGCTGTGGGTGACGTCACACTCACATAGTCCACTTCTTTATACAGTCTATGAAAAATACCTAGATCAGGGGTGTCAAACTCATTTTGGTCCGGGGGCCGTATCCAACCGACTTTGATCCCAAAGGGGCCGGATCAAAAAACTTATGGCATATAAACCCCAAAAATAACAATACGTTCAAATATTTGTGTAGAGAAACGCAAATCTATTACAGAAATCGTTTTTAATTGATGAACTCTTTCTTTTACAAAATATTATAATATTATGAACAACCTGAAACTTAAAAAAAAAAAAAAGCAATTTCAACACAATGTTTTAACATTAACTTGGATGCAAATAGGAATAAGTCAATTTTTCTTGTAAAATCCTGCACTCGGCTCCACTTTTCTCATGTTGGACATTTTTCTGATGAGGGTGTCACGGTCAACAGTCAAAACGATCGTCCTTTAAGAGCGTTTGGAAAGAGACAAGTCTTCATTTGTGCTGCTCTGGTGGGAGGGGCCACGTACAGAGACGCTGCTGTGATAAACACCACAGAAAATTAACAATATTTTAATAGAAAATATAGTTAAAATATTTTAGTAGAAAATCAGCCGAGGGCCAGATTAAAGATCTTGGAGGGCCGGATCTGGCCCCCGGGCCGTATGTTTGACACCTGTGACCTAGATAGACCACCTCTCGCCTCTCCACAGATCTGACCTGTAACTTGGTCTGGTTTGGTCTAGATAAGAACATAGAAAGATTTAATGCCAAACTGTGAAACATTCCAGACGAAGCAATCGAACATCTCCATACAGAAAACCATGTGTCTCGCGCAATGGAGCTTTAAGGTTACGGTTTGGGTTCGGGGGCAATAGTCAAGAATTAAACCGTGATCCTTGCTTTCCTGGAGAAGGGGGGCACCACCTGATGACATCACAAGGTGGAGCAGAGGTTTTGAACAGATGTCAGCGTCCGTTTGCTCTTCTGTATTAAGACAATGAAACAGTTGCAGTTGTTTCTGTGGACAAAGTAAGACCAGACTCTGTGACACTCTGGTCGTCAACACTCACAAAAGGGTTAAAATACATTTTTGAAATCAAATCAAATCTGATGAAATGTGATTGAAGAGTTTTGTAAAAATGTCATTAGGCAGAGTCAGACCTCGGTGTATCCCTCGCTCTCCTCCTGCGGATTTAGACAAACCTACTCCTCCAACCTCCCCAGCTCCTCCAACTACACCAGGTAACACCAGGACCAGACCAGGACCAGAACCAGACCAGAACCAGACCAGGACCAGACCAGGACCAGACCAGACCAGGACCAGAACCAGACCAGGACCAGACCAGACCAAACCAGGACCAGACCAGGACCAGACCAGGACCAGACCAGGACCAGAACCAGACCAGACCAGGACCAGGAACCAGGACCAGACCAGACCAGGACCAGGACCAGGACCAGGACCAGACCAGGACCAGACCAGGACCAGACCAGACCAGGACTAACAGGACCAGGACCAGACCAGGACCAGACCAGGACTAAACCAGGACCAGACCAGACCAGACCAGGACCAGACCAGACCAGACCAGGACCAGACCAGGACCAGACCAGGACCAGACCAGGACCAGGACTAAACCAGGACCAGACCAGGACCAGACCAGGACTAAACCACCAGGACCAGACCAGACTAAACCAGGACCAGACCAGACCAGACCAGGACCAGACCAGACCAGGACCAGACCAGACCAGGACTAAACCAGGACCAGAACCAGACCAGGGACCAGACCAGGACCAGACCAGGACCAGAACCAGACCAGGACCAGACCAGGACCAGACCAGGACTAAACCAGGACTAAACCAGGACCAGACCAGGACTAAACCAGGACCAGGACCAGACCAGGACCACACCAGGACCAGACCAGGACCACACCAGGACTAAACCAGGACCAGACCAGGACCAGACCAGGACCAGACCAGGACCAGACCAGACCAGACCAGACCAGACCAGACCAGGACCAGGACCAGGACTAAACCAGGACCAGACCAGGACTAAACTAGGACCAGACCAGGACTAAACCAGGACCAGAACCAGACCAGGACCACACCAGGACTAAACCAGGACCAGACCAGGACTAAACCAGGACCAGACCAGGACTAAACCAGGACCAGAACCAGACCAGGACCAGACCAGACCAGGACTAAACCAGGACCAGACCAGGACTAAACCAGGACCAGACCAGGACCAGACCAGGACCAGACCAGGACCAGACCAGGACCAGGACCAGACCAGGACCAGACCAGGACTAAACCAGGACCAGACCAGGACCAGACCAGACCAGACCAGGACCAGAGCAGGACCAGACCAGACCAGACCAGGACCAGACCAGGACTAAACCAGGACCAGACCAGGACTAAACCAGGACCAGAACCAGACCAGGACTAAACCAGGACCAGAACCAGACCAGGACCAGACCAGGACTAAACCGGGACCAGACCAGGACCAGACCGGGACCAATACCAGACCAAGACTACACCAGGACCAGTCCGGGACTAAACTAGGACCAGACCAGGACCAGGACCAGACCAGGACTAAACCGGGACCAGACCAGGACCGGACCAGACCAGGACCAGACCAGGACTAAACCAGGACCAGACCAGGACCAGACCAGGACCAGACAAGACCAGGACCAGACCAGGACTACACCAGGACCAGACCAGGACCAGACCGGGACCAATACCAGACCAAGACTACACCAGGACCAGTCCGGGACTAAACCGGGACCACACCAGGACCACACCAGGACCAGGACCAGACCAGACCAGGACTAAACCAGGACCACACCAGGACTAGAACCAGGACCATGACCAGGACCAGGACTACACCAGGACCACACCAGCACCAGAACCAGATCCAGGACCAGGACCAGACCAAGACTACACCAGGACCAGACCCGGACCAGACCAGGACTAGACCAGGATCAGACCAGAACTAAACCAGGACTAGACCAGGACCGAACCAGGACTAGACCAGGACTACACCAGGACTACATCAGGACTAGACCAGGACTAAACCCGGACTAAAGCAGGATTAGACCAGGATTAAGCCAGAACTAAACCAGGTCTGAACCAGGACTAAACCAGGACTTGACCAGGACTAGATGAGAACTAAACCAGGACTAGACCAGGACTAAACCAGGACTGAACCAAGACTACACCAGAATTAAACCAGGAGTAGACCAGGATTTAAAAGGGAACTAACATGAACACGGGACATAACTTGGGACTAAACCTGGACCAGAACTGTAACTTAACTTATACTAAACCAGGGACTAAACCAGGACTAAAAGAGGACTAAACCTGGACTAACCCGAGCCGAGCCGAGCTACTGCAGCCAAGTGTAAAGCCGCCTGCTTCAGTCCCTCCTCAAATTAAAATGACTTGGATTCAAAACATGAACCTTGAACCTTAACCACGAATTAAATACAGAAAATCAAAATATAAAATCATACACTGAAACAAAAGAAGTCAAATTTGATTATTCAAGTCATTTTAAGTCAAAATTTCCACTTTCAAACGCGATGAGTGGGTTTTAAACAGGATGTCATGTCTTCAACGCTGCTGCAAAACAAAATGTGCAACAAGAACCCGAGTATTGACCAGAGGACTTCACTTCACTCAGATGTTTGGAAAAGTGAAAAGTACACGTTAGAACTCTGCTATAGATGCTGCTGAGTGGAAAAGTTTTCTGAAAATGGGGGAAAATTCGGCGTTTTGTGTCAGAGCTTTGCGTGTTTCTTTGTCTTCTGCTGTTTCGTGCTTCGCTTTAAACGTGCATTCTCCAAAACACATGACCGGTCTAATGTTTGGACACGCATTTTCATTTATGTTTCTTCTTTATATCCGTGATTATTTACACTGTTGATTCCCACTGACGATATCAAAACTATGAATGACACATGTGGATTCAGCGATAAAAATAAACTCAAAATAGCTCCAAAGTTGTTTAAGGTTTCTAAAAACAGTATTTAACCTTTGCTTTGATCACTGCTTGGCATTTTTTGGCGTTTCTTGATCCTGGCTGTGAAGTGAAAACCGTTTCAGGAGACTTCGTCAAGGAGTTCATGAAGCGAAGGCCGAGGGTTTGCCGCTGTCGATAAAGCAAAGGGTGAATACTCTGAGGATTTTAGGGTCTGTTTACATAACACCGCAACAAAATATTTTATCGGAAGTCGCTTTCGTTTAGACGGTGAGGGCGTTTTTGGGGTTTAAAAACGCAAAAATCTGAAACTACACCCCAGATTGGAAAAGTTGAATACGCTCCACCATAGAGTTTCCGTTCTGCACTGCCCAAGACGCAAAACTCTGGTCAGGTTTACGTCACATACATAACAGAAATCTGGCATGTATACCCAATCCAATTCTACACACTTTTGCGTCACCGTATATTTGCAGATTTCATCCGCAAAAAACACTACTAAACGTGGAATAAAAAGTGAAGATGTGACGTCTTCTGTTCAAACTGTCATCATATAAACTTAGCTTCAGTATAAAAAAAAAAAAACAATCAAAAAAACATATTTTTTTTCTTTGCTACATAATTCTATATATCATGCGTCATATTGATACTTTGCATATTCACGCTGGGGGAGTTACCATGGAGACACAACGCACACATAAGCAAACACTGTCAAAAAATATTTCAGAACTAGGAAACACACACACACAAAAACAAAACAAAACAGGAGCCTGCGATCAGTGCGAGCGTTCATGGTCCTGTTTAAGAGTTTGATTTTCTGATTTTCCACAAAAAGGTGAGAGTGACAAACTGAAAAACTGCTGGGTAATACTGTCTAGCTTTTGACTGTAATTTTTTTTACGTGTGAGAGTCTTGTTTAACCGCGCAAATCATCTCACCTGTTGTAATTCCACAAGTCTGGTCAGATTATATCAAAATATTACTCAGATTAAAGTCTAATAAAGCCTCAGACAGAGCAGTGCCTACGTTTAGCATCACACCCCCAGTGAATATTGATGCCATCAGCTGTAAGTTATCAATATTTAATATCTTCAGTGGGAAAATAAACTGTAGGAAGCAATGAGTATGAAGAAAATAAACATTGAGAAGGTGTGTTCAAACTTTGGACTGGTCGTGTCTGTTTTTATCTGTGGTACTTTTTTAAAGAATTAGTACTTATTAAAACAGTTTATCACACATTTTATTCACATTTTAGTGCTGCTTTTAAAAGTAATAATACTCTTAGTACAGTTTGAGAAACGCTCGGGCTCCGTCTGTATGAGTAGGGCTCCATCTCCTGGCGACAACGTGCATTTCAACACAATAAAGGATCCTCGACATTTTGTTAATCCTGGTTAAGAGGCAGTGTTGGGAAGGTGACTTTTAAAATGTATTCCCCTACAAATTACAGATTACTTACCCCAAAATGTAGTTTGTAACGTAATCCATTAAGTTACTTAAAGTGAGTAACGTAATCCGAATACTTTGGATTACTTGATATTGTCATGGTTTTTAAAACAACCACATTCTGAAAATTCTTGTTTGTTTTCTTCAAATTGTCTGTTGAGCCCAAGTCTTCATGAACAGGTAATTTTTTGCTGTAGAGAAGCAAAGACTAGGATATCTGAACATAAGTTGTTTTATCCGCTAAAAGAAAATAAAAAGTCCAGTCTTTCCTTAACCATATTAAAATATTGATAGAGAAATGCTTTTTATATTTGAAATCACTGCTGCCTTCAATTATGTCCACCCTAATGTTAGGTGTCATAATGTTTATTTAAAAAAATTATAAATAAATCACTTTCAGTACAAACAGAAAGGCGCCAGCCCAGTATAAATCTGTAATATTTGATGTTTTTTACTCAAAATGATGCAGAATCTGATTCTTAACAACGACAATTACTAACGACCTCATCCATTGTGTGACTGACGCCACCAACGTTAACAAGACATTTACGTGGCTCTTACTGCCACGCGATTGAAAAAAAACAAAAAAACTAACTAAATTCCAGCTCACACAGATGAATACCGTTGTTGTGTCCTTGGGCAAAACACTTCACCCACCTTTCACTTGGTGTCTGCGTACACTGGTGTATGAACGTGTGTGTGAATGGGTGAAAAAGTGCAGTATAAATGTGTGATTATTTACCATTTTGTTAATTCTCTAACTTTTCTAACCCTTTAAAGTTCATAACCCTGAGTCAGTCTTAACAAACAGTGAAATCTTTACTACTTTATCATGGCAGAAATGAATGTCGTTATTAAAAAGTATCACGATGTTGTGTTGCTTTTGCTCCATGTGCTTTGGCTAAATGCTTTTGTGTGTTTGAAATTGTATTGTGTACACTCCCAGTCGACTGGACACACCTCCTCATCAATGTAATACTTCACACTGTAGATACAAACTGAAAACATCTAATTTAATCTACACTACTGGTCAAAAGTTTTAGAACACCCTCATTTTTCCGGTTATTTATTGATAATTTGCTCAAAACTTTCAAATTGAAAATAAATATAGGCTACAGATATGAACGTTAGAGCAGTTTTGTGATTTATGAAACATTAAATGAAAAAAATATACTTTGAACATGAAAGTAAATGCATCAATAAAAACATAAATGTATCCAAAATAAATTATATATCTTATGAAACAATATATCTTATGAAACATTGCATCAGGTTTGTGAAGTTGTAGTAGAGCTGCTCAAATATGGAAAAAAATCATTTTCACAATTATTTTGGTCAATCAGGATTATTCAGACCATTATTTTTTAGTTGCATGATGCATTTATTTAGTATTTTTCTCTCAAAAAACCCAAAACAAAACACTTTGTTATTGATAACTTAATCAAAACTTTCAAATTGAAAATAAATATAGGCTACAAATATGAACCTTAGAGCAGTTTTGCGATGTATGAAACATAAAATGAATCAAACATACTTTGAATATGAAAAACATAAATGCATCCAAAATAAATTATATATCCAGCTGTTCTATAATCTCTACACTACCGGTCAAAAGTTTTAGAACACCTACATTTTTTTCCAGTTATTTATTGTAATTCATGTCATGCAAGTCCAATGAAGAGCTTGAAATGGTACAAGAAAATAAGAAATAACGGAAAATAGCGTAATATGAACCTTTTTAAACCGGTTTTGAGATGATTTATTTTTTGTTCTTTCATAGTTTTGAAGTCTTCAGTGAGAATCATTCGAGCAGTATTTAAAAGTGTGTCCAGTCACGTGGCTGGGAGTGTGCGTAACGTCATGTAACATATCGTGTACTTATGTGTATTTATGTTTGTGTTGTGTTGCAGGTTTCCACACTCCCTGATGCTCGGGCCCTCGGGGATGCACCCCACAGGGATCCCCCACCCCGCTATAGTGCCCCCTACAGGCAAACAGGAGCACGACCCCTACGACCGCGCCATGTACACGTAAGACAACCTCGTGTAGTCCTGGTTTAGTCCTGGTTTAGTCCTGGTTTAGTCCTGGTTAGTCCTGGTTAGTCCTGGTTAGTCCTGGTGTAGTCCTGGTGTAGTCCTGGTTTAGTCCTGGGTTAGTCCTGGTTTAGTCCTTGGTTAGTTCTGGTGTAGCCCTGGTTTAATCCTGGTATAATCTGGGTTTAATCCCTGTTTTAGTCCTGGTTTGGTTCTGATTTAGTCCTGGATTAGTCCTGGGTTAGTCCTGGGTTAGTCATGGGTTAGTCCTAGTCCTGGGTTAGTCCTGGGTTAGTCCTGGATTAGTCCTGGGTTAGTCCTGGATTAGTCCTGGGTTAGTCCTGGATTAGTCCTAGTCCTGGTTAGTCCTGGTTTAGTCCTGGGTTAGTCCTGGATTAGTCCTGGGTTAGTCCTAGTCCTGGTTTAGTCCTGGTTTAGTCCTGGGCTAGTCCTGGGTTAGCCCTGGATTAGTATTGAGTTAGTCCTGGGTTAGTCCTGAGTTAGTTTTGGGTTAGTCCTGGATTAGTCCTGGTTTAGTCCTAGTCCTGGGTTAGTCCTGGATTAGTCCTGGGTTAGTCCTAGTCCTGGTTTAGTCCTGGATTAGTCCTGGGTTAGTCCTAGTCCTGGTTTAGTCCTGGGCTAGTCCTGGGTTAGCCCTGGATTAGTATTGAGTTAGTCCTGGGTTAGTCCTGAGTCAGTTTTGGGTTAGTCCTGGATTAGTATTGAGTTAGTCCTGGGTTAGTCCTGAGTTAGTTTTGGGTTAGTTCTGGATTAGTCCTGGGCTAGTCCTGGGTTAGCCCTGGATTAGTATTGAGTTAGTCCTGAGTTAGTCTTGGGTTAGTTCTAGATTAGTCCTGGGTTAGTCCTGGGTTAGTCCTGGATTAGTCCTGATTTAGTAAAGAAAAAGATGCATGGTTAGTGTGAGTGGGCTTGCTTCTCCACAAACCTGACTCATATTTGGCCTGGTGGAGAACCTCCTCCTGGTTGTTTCCATGGAAATGTTTTTCCTTTGGACAATCTTCCACAGTATGGCATTAAACATCTGTGGAGAATGTTCTGAAGTATGGTTTTAACTTTCTAATTCCATGGATCATACAGGCGTCATGCCACCTCCAGAAGGTTCCTCAGTGCTGCTTTAAGTGTGTCTAATGTGTGTGTGTGTGTGTGTGTGTGTGTGTGTTGTTTGTGTGTGAGCAGGAAGCCTCAGGTGGAGGTGAAGAGGGAGAAGGAGCCGAAGAAGCCTGTGATAAAGAAACCTCTGAACGCCTTTATGCTCTACATGAAGGAGATGAGGGCCAAGGTGATCGCAGAGTGCACCCTGAAGGAGAGCGCCGCCATCAACCAGATACTCGGCCGCAGGGTGAGCTCCAGTCCTCATCCAGTCCTGGTTTAGTCCTGGTTTAGTCCTGGTTTAGTTCTAGTGTAGTATACAGACAGACTATGCCTCATGTGAAAGCTCAGAACCTCCAGAGCTGCACTAGCGCTGATTCATGACTGATGCAGGTGCTGGGGTTTAGGTCATTTTGGTTTAAACCGACTGGATTTCAGACTCATTTTGCTTTCTGACTTTGTAAATGTTTATTGCTAAAAATATGCATTTTTTTTCCTATGAGTGGCATCACCTTTGTAGAGATCTTACCTGTAACTTGACCTAGTGACATCACCTTCTTGTCTCCTTTTTAATGCCCTTTTGTGGAACATTCCTCATAAGCAGTAACTTCTGTGTAGAGACAAGAATCTGGGTGAACTGGGGTATTTAGTTGATAAGATGAAATACATGATGAAATGTTTGTAAGCACTTTTTTTTTCCCTTTTTTTCTTTTGGTTCCACCTTGTGATGTCATGAAGTGGTAGTTTTTATGTGAACAGCTCCTTTTACCTTTTGTTTATAGTAGAGAGCTGCAATTCCAGGGTAGAAATTATCCAAATAATTCTAGTGAAGGTGTGTGAAGTTTAAAAAAAAAAACAAAAACAGTGGAGCACTTCCTGTATCACCATATGACATCACAAGGTGGAACAGGGTGTTTTTTGTTAGAGAGAAGAACCCTAAATCTGCAGGGTTTGTGTCTTAAACATGTGTGAATGAAACAAAACACAAGTTCGGGTCTGTTTTTGAGTAGGGAACAATATAACAGATCAGAAAATAACATAATATGACTTTTTATGTGGAACATTCCTCATAAGCAGTAACTTCTGTGTAGAGACAAGAATCTGGGTGAACTGGGGTATTTAGTTGATAAGATGAAATACTTGATGAAATGTTTGTAATGATGTGTTTAAATGCTGGTGTAAATAAACAGTGTTTGTTGTTCCAGTGGCACGCGCTGACCCGTGAGGAGCAGGCCAAATATTATGAACTGGCCCGAAAGGAGAGACAGCTCCACATGCAGCTGTACCCCACCTGGTCCGCACGCGACAACTACGTGAGTCACAACACTCTTTACTACACACTGTCTATATGACCACTATATATATGACCAGGACATGCACTATGTATGTGACTGGAACATGCTATTGTCAGGCTAAAACCCATGATTTACACGGGAGAGTTTGACTTTTACACAGGGAAATAACATGTGACTCTAACATGAGCTGTTTTGAACCTCCTGCTACACACATGGGTGTCAGAAAGTTTAGAGTACTGAACAGTGTCATGAACAGATGAGTGTTTGTTGTGTGTGCGTGACATAGTGAATAGGACATGCTTCTAAAAGTCTTTGTGAGGATCAGCTGTACTGTGTTTTGTGTGCAGGAGGCAGGCCATAGCGAGGGCGGTAGATGGGCGGATGGGGTAGGAACCTTCTTATGTCTCTGTGCACCACACTGCATGGCCCAGGGGATTATGGGGATTCTCTGCAAATGCATGCACCTTCTGGTCCTGGTCTAGCCCTGGCATAGACTGTAGATAGAAATGGACAGATCTAACCTGCTAGCGAGTGAGCATGGGCGCGCTTCCGGCTCCATCCACTCTCATTCACTTTCTGTTGAAAAATGGTGGCCCCTGTCTTTGTAACTGCTGCTGTGAGCCGCGTCATTCTGACCTTTAAATGATGATTTAAACTCGCTCGACATGATCCCGAGGGTTTTATTTCACTATCTTTCCTTAAATCAGAATATGAACATTAATAACAGACAAATCAGAAGTCTTCTTTACCTGAGGTCACTCTGGAAGTGTTAGTGCATGTGTAGTTCAACAGGTTTGATTGACAGATGGGCCTCGATTGGCTTCATTTGATTGGAGCTGACGTCTTAGTCTCTCAGTTCACTTCTGTATACAGTGAGCTATCTGGACTTGGTCTGGTCCTGGTTTAGTCCTGATTTAGTCCTGGTTTAGTCCTGGTTTAGTCCTGGTTTAGTCCCGGTCTGGCCCTGTGCATGTGCTGGTTGTGTCACAGAGGCATAAATGAGGTTTACTAAACTAACAGGAGCAAATGCATGGCTGCCTCACTGCTAACACTGCTACAGCACACACACACAACACACACACACACACACACACACACACACAACACACACACACACACACACACAGACACACACAGCAGGTGTATGACTTGATTGTCTGAGAAAATATAAGTTTATAGAGCAGTAATTATTAGAGAAACAGTCAACATGTTATCCTTGTATTTTAATTCCAGCAGTGTGAAATAGCTGCAGTGTGGAGATATTTTTGGGGCCCAGTATTGACTGACAGAATACAGGTGATAAAAGCTTTAAGAGAGGAATCCCCCAGTACACAACAGAACCAAGTCTGTCTGAATACATTTCTGAACAGAGAGAGGTGAAGAGAGGAGACAGAGGGGCTCTGCTAACCACAGAGACAATGTGCAGAGGCTCAGAGCTGTTTTTAACCAAACCACTTCCTCTAAATCTCACCTCCATCAACAACAACAACAGCAGCAGCAGCAACAACATGTGTGGAGGAGATTCTCTGCACATATTTGGACTAATCCAGCGCTGGGTGAAACTTACTTACTACTTACAATAATGAAATTACTTTATGGTGTAGTACATTTCTATGAAAATTTTACACTTGTGCACAGAATAGTTCTTAGTTACTTATGTTACTCATTGCTATCAGTCGATCAATCAGTCTCACTGTATTTGTCGTGGAGGAGCAGTTTAAGCACATCAAGCAGTGAAATACAATAAAATACAATAATAATAGAAAAGATCAAGCAAAAGTTTCAGTGCAGCTCAACAGACAGAGTCATCAGATCCAGTGTCAGGGCAGTTTGAGGAGAGTAGGTAGTGCTGGATTAGTCCTGAGTTATTCCTGGATTAGTCCTGGTGTAATCTTGGTTTAGTCCTGTTTTATTCCTGTTTTAATCCCTGTTTTACCTGGGTTAGTCCTGGGTTAGTCCTGGGTTAGTCCTGGATTAGTCCTGGGTTAGTCCTGGGTTAGTCCTGGGTTAGTCCTGGGTCTCTGGTGTAGTGTTGGATTTTGGGGTCCACAAACACAAAGTAAAGAAAAGCATGCATGATCTCACTGTATTTGTCCCAGAGGAGCAGTTTAAGCAGTGAAACACAGTAAAATAAAATAATAATAAAAAAGATCAAACAAAAGTTTCAGTGCAGGGTCATCAGATCCTGTGTCAGGGCAGTTTGAGGAGAGTAACAGCCCTCAGGACAAAAGTGTTCTTCATGTGTGTCCTGCAGCATCACAGCAGTGTCCAGCCGGTGTGATGACTCATGTGTTATTTAAATATCTTTCATAAAATATAAAAGAACACATCTGATTCATTTATACAATATAAAGTAATCCCAAAGTAATAACTACATAGTGTAATATATTTTTATTTCAACAAATAAACAGTACATGTACTTCTGTAATAAATAAAATATTAAAATAAATGTATTTTGTTTCAGGGCAAGAAGAAGAGGAGAAAAAGGGAGAAGACACAGGACTCCACTGCAGGTAAAACCCAAACACACAGACTGATGTTGTTATTATAATGAATTTCAATTCAACATTCAAATTCAACAGAATTGGTCCTGAACAAATTCACCAGAATCAGGGCATCTGACACAGCGCGGGCATGTTAGGAGAAGAAATATACGGTAGTTTGGGTACATTTTGCGTTGGCGTTATAACGTCGTTCGTGCAGGATGCGCTTTATGTCAAACCAAACCCGCCCACTCAATTTTCCATTCACCCAAATTTATATAAAAAGATTTTATTCACTTAATGTTATGAGAAAGTTACACACATCACCATTAAGGTTCTGCGTTATATTTTTAACATGTATTTGAGCAAAATGTGTCTTGCTCCAGTGCAGAGATATTATATAAGTAAATCTTGAGGTCAAAATAAGTCGTACTGTCGGCATCTAAATAAAACGCCTGTACTTAAAAAGAGTAAAAATTAAGCAAGTAAAAAAGTATTATGCAGAGATTTTTTTAGAGCAATTAAAGAATAAAATGTTAAAGTAAATTAAAATTTAATTTAAAAAGATAGCTGACTCTCTAACAGACTCAAACAGTTGATTTCTTAATTTTTCGAGCAGTTTTTTGTGTATTAGTTTGCTAAAAGTTGGGACATTAACTCAATTTAAATGTACTTAAAAAAAATAATAAAGTCACCGCCGTTTCAGCAGCTCTCAAACTAAAAGAAATGTAAATCTTTTTTTCTTTTCGGTCCAGATAAAAAATTTACAGATACCATACTCAAATGTACTAAAGTAAAAGTAAAAAGTAATGTAAAATGTACTTAAGTATAGTAAAGTACAGAACCCTAAAATTTGTTCTTAAGGATTCTAATTTTACTTTTGTACTTTGTTACCTTCCACCAATGAAAATTAGTTTTGGTAAAATAAATTTTTGTTGCTGTAATACACTGCAAAAAACAAAATCTAGTCAAGTTAAGTTAAGGTGACTGGAATTAATAAAGTTTGATCACGACTTGAGTAAATTTCACTTGACAAGTAAAATGATCTGCCTGTGGAATAAGACTTTTGTAATTAAAATATGAAAAATCTTGCTACACTTAAAGTAAGAAAAACAACATTTTTTTGGACTGAAAATAAAAAACAAAATTGAATGTCGCTTGAATTAAGAAAAACACACTTATTCCATTGGCAGATAATTTTGCTGTCAGGTTGAATTTACTCAAATAAAGTAAAATGTTCTTTCAAAATTTCAAAAGTTATTTTAATTTAGCTAGATATTGTTTTTTTTTGTTTTTTTCCAGTGTACGTTAAGTTCTAGGGTTTAGTCACTTATATAAACATTCAGGTTCAACATTTGTGGATATTTTGTGAGAAAGTGCAACGTTATTGAGCATTTTTAGTGCGATAATCAGGAAGTGCGCAGTAGCATGCTAGTTGTTAGCTTTACCATCACTGCAAAACTCCTCTTTAGTTTCTTAAAGTTATGAAAAGCTCTTATAAACTCATCTGACATCTGAAACAGAAAAGAGACAAACTAAAAATATAATTCAATTTATATGTGAAGGAATATAAAAAAATAAAAAAATAAATTGTAACATGATTAAAATACCTTAAATATTATTAAAAAAAACACATACATATTGTGGAATTGCAGCTTTTGTTGAAGTTTTAAGCAGGAGCTGAATCTTCACATTCAGTTTGAGTTCAGAGTATTTCAGTGGATATAAAAGTTTTGTTTAATCGTGAGTTTGAACTTTATAACAGATAAAACTGACTTCAGAACGCACTTAAAGCTTGGGCTGTCAGGGTTTGGCTTTTCAATGAAACTGCATCGCAAAGTGAAATCATAAAAGAAGAATTTGACCTGATAAAAGCCTTGATCTGACGGGACCGAAAACACCGTATGAAAAAGTTCTCTCGTCAAAAACAGTTACACTTTCACCTCAAAAGATCTGGAACTTTGTCTTAAATTTACAAAAATAGTTGGCTGTTTTCATCAGATTCAAATGGATTTATTACGACAATTGACACTTTTGTAGGATGTTCTGAATGCGTAAGGTAAGTGAGGAAAAACTTTGGACCATTGCAAACTGTTTCAAATGATCTAGTTCTGATTTTTATGTTTTTAAGACGGTAAAAATCACGTTAAGCGCATTTAAGTTACAATAAAAGTTTTCAAAGTCACCAATTTAAAAAAAATTAAAAAAAATAAAACAGAAATAAGAAAATGTATTTAAACCGTCTTTGACTTTAAACTGACTAACCAGATTATTTTTCCTCTGTTAACACTTTGCTGTCTGTGATTTCCACTGTTTTGATTTTAAAGGTCGTGTTACGCTATTTTCTGATCTATGTTCTGATTGTTTCCTCATCACAAACAGACCTGGACTTGTGTTTTGATTCATTCACACATGTTTAACACACAAACTCAACAGATTCAGGCTAAGTTCATTTCTCAGACTGAAAAGACTCCGTTACACCTTGTGATGTCATGTGGTAATACTCCACATGTGTCCACTGTGTTTTTAAACTCCACACACCTTCACTAGAATCATTTGGATGATTTCAGCCCTTGAATTGCCAATATTTGCTGAATTAAAGGTAAAAACAGCTGTTAACTTGAAAACTACCACTTCATGACATCTCAAAGTGGAGCAGAGCATTTTGAGCTTTGGAAATGTAAGTAAGTAAATAATTCAGTTCAATTCAAAAAGTTTATAAAGTGTTTAAAATTGAGATTATGATCTCACTCTCAATCTTCTAAATTAAATAATAATAGAAGAAAAGGAAAAGTCCAGAGTTCTTCTTTGGGGAGATGCAGATTGCTTCCTGGCAGCCTGGTGGTTGAAGCTCTTAGTGAGTCTGGTGGTGCAGGAACAGAGGCTCCTGTAAGCGAGACAGACTTTATTTATAGATCATCTTTCACAGATAAAAAGGGATTACAGACGCAGTCAACCAAATGCTTGTCTAAAAAGCAGCTTGAGATGCTTCTTAAAAGTGTCAGTAGAGTCTGTCTCACGAAGGGCCGGGGGCAGGACATTCCTGCTGTGGACTTGGGGGCCTGAAAGAACTGGTCCGTCTGTCAGAGGCCCTGACCTGAGGACCGGAGGGTGTGACCTGAGGCGTAGAGGCGCAGTAAGTCACTCATGTACTGGGGCCTGTCAAGATTTTAAAATCAACACAGAACTCAACAGGAAGCCAGTGCAGTGAAAATAAAGATACAGATAAACAGCGGGGCGCCAGTGGCAAAAAAACTGTTGTTGTGTCCTTAGGCAAGACACTTCATCCACATTGCCTTGTAAGAAAGTGGAGTGTGAGTGTTGGTGGAGGTTGCAGGGGTCAGTGGTGCAGATTGGCAGCCTTGCTTCCATCAGTCTGTCCCAGGGCAGCTGTGGCTTCAGTAGTTTACCCTCACTGAGCGCGGAGAGAATAAAGACTGAACTGTAAAGTGTCTTTGAGTGACTAGAATATAAATATAATATAATATAAATGCAACGGTGAAATAAAGATAAAGATGTAGACAGACTAATAAAAAAGAATTATTCAAACATGTGTGAATGAAACAAAACACAACTCCAGGTCTGTTTTTGTAATATAGAACCTTTAAACTAAACTCTCTGACTCTGAATGTTTCTAACCTGTTTAATTCTTAACACTTATTTTTTTCTCTTCTGTGCATGCTCCCTCTCTCCTCCTCTCTGTTCCTCCTCTCCTCCTCCCTGTCCTTCTCCCCTCTGCACCTCTCCTCCCCTCTCCGTCTCTCTCTTCACACCCCCTCCCTCTCTCTGCCCCTTTCCCTCTTTTTCTCTGTCCTTCTCTTTCTCCCTCTTATTTGTCTCTCTCTCTCTTGCTCTCTTTCCCCTTGTTTCCTCTCCACAATTTCTCCTCTTTACCCCCCTCTCTCCTTCTCTCTCCCCTCTCTCTCTCTCTATCCCTCGCTCAGACCCCGGCTCTCCAAAGAAGTGTCGCGCTCGCTTCGGTCTGAACCAGCAGACCGACTGGTGTGGGCCCTGCAGGTCTGTGCTCTCTGTCCTCCTCTCTCCCTCCATCTCTCCCTGCCTCCACCTCTCTCTTCTTCCCTCTCTCTTCTTCCACCTCTCTCTTCCTCCATATCTCTCTCTCTCTCTCGCCCTCCATCTCCCTCCATCTCTGCCTTCCTCTACCTCTCTCACACTTGCTTTGTCTCTCTCTCCCTCCTCCTCTCTCTTTCCCTCCATCTCTATCTCTCCTCTCTCTCTCCATCCATCCACCTCTGTCTCTCCCTCATCTCTCCATCTCTCTCCCTGTCTCTCTTTCTCTACATCACACTGCCTCATATCTCTTCATCAAGCTCTTATATTCTTCTAACTTAAAGCTGCACAGTGTCCACTTTTCTATTGAAGAGTCTACTACCTGCTTGTCTCCATGGAGATGTTATTGCTTTGCCTGAAAAGTTTCATAGTACGGCATTAAACGTATCTGTTCCCATGGAGACAAGCAGATGCGACGTCACCGGGCCAAATAACCAGCCGTAGGCGACTGAAGTATTTCTGAGCAGTCGATACTTTTGCAGCTCATGTCATCAACGTTTCCTGAGGGGTGTGATGCTAACCGAGGGCACTGCTCTGTCTGAGGCTTTATTAGACGTTAATCTGAGTTTTATTTGAACACAATCTGACCAGAAACAGCTGACTTCACTGGACTACAACGGATGATACAGATGTGCATTAGGCAACAGTTTTTCAGTTTGTCACTCTCACCTTTTTGTCGAAAATCAAACTCCTAAACAGAACCATGAATTCTAGGATGGTCCAATTTTATTTTATTTTTTTTTTAGATTCTAGATTAGAACCCTGCATTTGGTTCCAAATCTGGCCAAAATATTTGGGTCAGAATTTTATGCAAGCTATTCACTATTTAGAGTAGGGCTGTGCAAAAATATTGAAATATCGATATATCGTATCATTTAATGTGATGATACAGTATCGATATTGTGGGCTGCTGTATCGATATATCACCAAGAGTATTTTTTTAGTTTATTTTACTAAATTATTTTGTTAAAGCTACAGTTTTGTTGTTTGTTTAGTGGAAGGAAACTCGTTTATGAGACACATTTGACATTTTCACTGTTTTGATGATTAAAATGTTTGTGTTTCATATTTACTTTGCACAAGACGTGATTTAACAAAGACTTTTAGTATCACGGCCATGATTTAGCCTTTATTTTTTATTGAACTGTATTGACTCGATTTGAAATATATCGTATCGAATCAAAAGCTCACTGTATCGAGATATGTATCGTATCATGGCCTATGCATCGAGGTATGTATTGTATTGGCAACTTCTTAATGATATCCAGCCCTAATTTAGAGGTTGCTCAAGTTAAGGTAAAGGGCAGCCCTGGCAGAGTCCAACATGCACCGGGAACAGGTCTGTCTTACTGCCGGCAATGCGAACACAGCTCTTTCTCCAGTCATACAGGGACCGGACAGGGAGCGGACAGCCCTTAGCAAAGGGCCCCGGACCCCGTACTCCCAGAGCATCCCCGACAGGACACCACGAGGGACACGGTCAAATGCCAGATCCAGATTCACAAAGCACATGTGGACTGTGCAGACTCCCATGAACCCTCGAGCACCAGATAGAGAGTGTGGATTGGTCCAATGTTCCACAGCCAGGACAAAAACCACACTGCTCCTCCTGGATCTGAGGTTCGACTATCCAGATTCTCCTCTCCAGTTCCCTGGCATAGACCTTACCAGGAAGGCTGAGAAGTGTGATTCCCCTGTAGTTGGAACACACTCAACACACTTGCAAATTGCCCTATAGGGCTTTGGGTTTTTTCGGAAGGTTCAATGCGTGTCCTAAAAAGAAGCACAGGAGATGGAGAATTCCGAGAGAACAGGCCACTTTATTTCAGCATTTCCATTGAGAGAGATTCAAGTTGATTACCAAGTACAACTGCCACCCCGGAACGACGTCTCTGACCAACTCAAGATCAGGGGTAGCTTTATACTACATCTTGACAAAACATTAACTTGTTGATTTAGCATATACAGCAAGAAAATGAACAATACTGCTGACCCAGTGCACCTTATCATGGGTGGAAACATGCCACGGGGTCCACATATGTCAGTTTTTCTGCTTCGTGGCATCTCAAAGTACAGAAAAAACATGTTATATAGACCTATAGATAGTCATACGTGTTTTCCACCCTGTTGTCATTCCAAAGTCCATAATATTAGGTGAATTAGCATGACCAACACATAATATTTCCCACAGGGCCTATACCATAACATAACGAACCAAATAATAAGGCATGTTCAAATGATTTGTCATTTTAGTCTGGAAACACAAACTCAAACTTGCATAAAAATAGCTTGGAAAGTACATAAAAGCTGCTTAGAAAGTCTAACAATCACTGTGGCTTTGTTGGCGTCACTAAAGATGTGCAGTAGAAATTGTTTCTGATCTTCACTCTTTGTTTGACTACAGTTAAAATCTTCAATAAGCTTCACCTCCTTTCAGCAACATCATTGACACTTTCCTGGAATGCACAATTTTAGCAGCTTCTGAAAGTCTGCATCATCAGCCCAGATCACATCAAGAAGAGTTTCAAATAAACACATGATTCTGGTGGTGAATATGAAGGCGTGTCCCTTCATAATCTGCTTGATTAAGGGCATCACGCTGCTTTGGTGGAACCTCTGAACGCTCCTTTTTAATAATATTGTGAACCATCAGCTTCTTCTGTTCTTTGTCACACTGGAGTAAAGAATGCCAGGCCAAACATTTCTCCACTCAAGTACTAAAGATTTCGGCCCAAAGCTGTTCACGTGTTTTCTTCACCACTGAATTTAAGGAAAACCAGCTTCTTAAGGAAAACCAAATTATCTCCAGGAGCTTCAAAACTTCATGCAGAAACTTCATGCAGCTTGAGCAACCTCTAAAACATCTCCTTTTTCTTCCAAATTTCTTCCTAAATCATCTTTTGGAAGCTAAAACCTAATGCAGGGTTCTAATCGAGGTGATCTGAAACTTTATTTTTTGCTTTGATAGATCACCCTAATGAACGCTCGTATTGATCACAGGCTTCTGTTTTTTCTTGAGTTTTCAGAATATCTTCGAGCTTTTTTGGCTGTGTTTGCAATTGTGTCGCCATGGTAACTCCTAAACATTCCACCACGAGATAAACATGTGGAACACCCCCAGCGTGGTATCACTGCACAAGCATCAATCAAACAGCTGTAATTGAATAGCTTAATGTCATACTGTGGAAAATTCTCCCAACCAGAAAAGCTACATGGAGCAATAAAAAAAAAAAAAAAAAGTGTGTGAAAGTGATTTCCAAAAAGCACACACGCTGCAAAAGCCACACATGTAGCAGTGCATGGCAAAGAGAAGTGGTTGTGGTGTGCAGCCTGACGTCATGGAACTGTAACCTCACCAAATCTGACTTCGCCAGAACAAAGATGGAGGTTTGTGTTGTTATGGGGCCCGTTATCTAAACCACAGCCAAAAAAGGGAACCCGAACCCCTGCTCTGCGTTGGCCGCCTCCCTCTGCCTCGATCGTGTGTCATATTAATCTCTCAACTGACGACAATCACGTCTTCGCGGTTGAATAATGCCACCACATCCTGAAGCGATTGTCAGCAACTCATTTCACTTTAGTTTATTTATAAAGGCTGGGAAGATATTGAACTTTGTGCCAGTTTTTGTTTCATGTGGATCGGTTCAGTAATTACAGAGAAATTAACCATAAACCAGGTCAATAAATTTGCATTAAACACTAAATTCCACCTGAGGATTCTGCTCAGATTGAACTACAGAGGTGTGGGCGTGGTACGCGGGGGTACGCCGTCCACCCACTTCTCCCGATGTGAGATATTAAAAAAATGACAAATATAAAATAGCTACAACTTAAATGTCAAACCGGAGCTATTGGAAACGGTGAAAACAACCTGCATACACTCATGATATCTGCACTACTGTCCTATAACGACCTGCCACATGAGGGACCAGGACTGAACCAGAACTAAACCAGGACTGAGTGTTGGGCGCAGAAATCCACGTCCCAAAAGCAAAAGCAAAAGCAAAGGCCCGATCGTGCTTTGCAGAGACCATGCTCCGCGGGCTTTCTCTCTCGCTCTCAAGTCCTGGTTTAGACCTGGTTTAGACCTGATTTAGACCTGATTTAGCTCTGGTTCAGTCCTAGTTTAGACCTGGTGTAGTCCTGGTTTAGACCTGGTGTAGTCCTGGTTTAGACCTGGTTTAGACCTGGTTTAGACCTGGTGTAGTCCTGGTTTAGACCTGGTTTAGACCTGGTGTAGTCCTGGTTTAGACCTGGTGTAGTCCTGGTTTAGACCTGGTGTAGACCTGGTTTAGACCTGGTGTAGTCCTGGTTTAGACCTGGTGTAGTCCTGGTTTAGACCTGGTTTAGTCCTGGTTTAGACCTGGTGTAGTCCTGGTTTTAGACCTGGTTTAGACCTGGTTTAGTAGTCCTGGTTTAGACCTGGTTTAGACCTGGTTTAGACCTGGTTTAGACCTGGTTTGACCTGGTGTAGTCCTGGTAGTCCTGGTTTAGTCCTGGTGTAGTCCTGGTTTAGACCTGGTGTAGTCCTGGTTTAGACCTGGTTTAGACCTGGTGTAGTCCTGGTTTAGACCTGGTTTAGACCTGGTTTAGACCTGGTGTAGTCCTGGTGTAGTCCTGGTTTAGACTGGTGTAGTCCTGGTTTAGACCTGTGTTAGACCTGGTGTAGTCCTGGTGGTTAGTCCTGGTTTAGACCTGGTTTCCTGGTTTAGACCTGGTGTAGTCCTGGTTTAGACCTGGTGTAGTCCTGGTTTACCTGGTTCAGACCTGGTTTAGACCTGGTTTAGACCTGTTTTAGACCTGGTTTAGTGCTGGTTTAGACCTGGTGTAGTCCTGGTTTAGACCTGGTGTAGTCCTGGTTTAGACCTGGTTTAGACCTGGTGTAGTCCTGGTTTAGACCTGGTTTAGACCTGGTTTAGACCTGGTTTAGACCTGGTGTAGTCCTG